TCTAAATTGCGGTTTTTGTCAAATGTGATGTTAGAAGTTAAAGAATATTTATATGAAAGCTTACATTTAATGACATCAATATGTCAAGGATGTGTTTTATCGTACATACTACGATCAATACGTATTGCTATACATATTTCGATCATTTTTAATTTTCATTTTAGATATTTAATTTCAGTTTGTACAATATTTGTGGAGATACAATTCCAAGAAATGAATAAGCCAATAAAGTTCTGTTGCCAGAATTACTGTAACAATTAACGACGCCAGGGGCGTGCCTTGAAATTTTCGGCGTTATATTCGGTTATATACATGGTAAATAAATATAGAGCAGATTTTTTGGATTGAAATGTGTTTTTATTTCTTTTACAGTACAGTAGACTACAAATAAATAAACTAGATAATACAATTATTATAAACACGCTGGTATAAAAAAAGGGAGTTAAAAAATTGTAATAAGAAAATATGTATTCATGCAGGTTAAACACGACTGGGAATTAAAATCCTTTCTTTTATTTTTCATCTCCATTGATTTATTTTAATAAGAAATGCACCGAACGAACAGAACGATACACTTACGGAGAAATACGCCTTCGTAACTGCAGAACACAGTATGCACTGCAAGCTGTTACGATGAACGTCACGCCGTCAATGTCTTTCTGTCTCGGGTGTCGATTGCGGTTAATTCCAAGGAAGTGACGCAGAGGTCTTCTTGGAATTTTATCTCAACAAATATCGTTCGGACTGTATTAATTACTAGCTCTTCTATGAAGATTTTAGTAGTATATATTTGTAGTATATAGATATTTTTGGAACAAAATCTAATTTTTGATATTTCCATTAAACTTTTTAGAATAGTTTTTTAAGTTTTCCTCGAAAATCTGGCTTTTTTCGAAAATCATAAGAGAGTAGTAATTTGTAGAAAATTGAAAGACGAATCCGAAAATATCATGGTTGTTATCGTAACGCAGTGGCATTATTTAGGAAAATATGCCGCCGATACCCCGTATCTCCGCCACTGGAACATGTAAATTTTAGAAAAAGCCCTTAGATTTTGGGCAATGTAAAGACGTGCCCAATTTCAAATTATTTCACTTTCTAGTTTTTAAATTATTTAAAAAAATTAAAAATATTTTTTGACGTTTAACACCCTGTATCTTTTTAACGAAGCGTCATAGATAAAAACTTTATAGGAAAGACTCCCCTTAAAAGTCACCAAAGAATACGAGAATTTTGGTCACCATTTGTGAATCACCCTGTATGTTCATATATTTTTCATAAATGTATCATATTTACATAAGTTTTTTCTCGATTCGAATTATTCGATCGATTTAAAAAAAAATTAGGTANGTAACTGCAGAACACAGTATGCACTGCAAGCTGTTACGATGAACGTCACGCCGTCAATGTCTTTCTGTCTCGGGTGTCGATTGCGGTTAATTCCAAAAAAGTAACGTCGAGGTCTTCTTGAAATTTTATCTCAACAAATATCGTTCGGACTATATTAATTCCTAGCTTTTCTATGAAGATTTTTGTAGCATATCTAGATATTTGTATCAATGTCTAATTTTTGATATATATTAAACTTTTAGAATCGTTTTTTAAGCTTTTACTCGAAAATTTGGCTTTTTCGAAAATCATAAGAGAGTAGTATTTTGTAGAAAATTGAAAGACGAATCCGAAATATCATGGTTGTTACCGTAAAGCAGTGGCGTACTATTTTATTTCTATTCTATTTACTAATTTTTAAATTTTATTAAAAAAAAAGGTTTTATTTTTGGTCACCATTTATGAATCACCCTGTATGTTCATATATTTTTCATAAATGTATCGTATTTACCTACATAACATTTTTTTCTCGATTCGAATTATTCGATCGATTTTTGATAAAAAAATTAGGTACTTCACTTTAATTAGCACACTTAAACTCCCATATCTCAAATTTCATCGCTTTAAAACGCAGAATAATTTTTTAATTCAGACTTTTAAAGTGTTAAAATGAAGTTCCGTTTCAATTTAACAATTTAGGAGCATTTTGAATTGGCTGAAGATGAATTATTAGCCAATTTCTGATCCTACTGATTGTGATTGGTAACTAGTAGTCTGCATAAAAATTATTTTCGTGATTTTAGGCAGGACCTAATACATATTTCCAAAAATTTAGAACTCTGTTTTTTGCAAGTTGTAATCAATAGTGCCAATAAGTTTTAATTTTTAGGCATATCCAATGCTTTCTAGTTTTTAAACTGAAACAAATATTGAAAAAAATCAAATCTATATGAGAAAATGTTTCCACTCTATTTTAATTGAAATTGATTAAGGCTACATAGTCAGATTTTTAATAAACATATCACTAAACTTACTTGCCCTAAAATCGCTTCTAAAAAAATTTATAATTGTTCGGCAATTACATCTAGAATCTATATAAAAAATTTAATTCCAATCCTGCGGTCCTAAAAAATTTTAAACCGGCCACTGTATTAATATCAAGTTTTTAAATATAAAATANCTACGTCCAATGTGTCAGAGCCAACTTCGACCACGTTTTTATTTGAACGCTCGTTATATTATGTATGAATCACTATCTATATTTTCGGCCATCGAGTATAGATATGTTCATTAACAAAAAAAGATGAAAATTTAAAAAGGATGTACCTAACTGCATCCGTTTTTTGAATATCAATCAATACAGAGAATTTCAGGTAAGTGATTTTCAGGTATTAATATCTTGAAAGCAGTTGAAAATCTATACATAGGTAAAAAATGCTAAAAAAAGTCTTAAAACCTAAATTTTTTCATTTGATACGTCCAGCGGCATCAAAACAGGAGTATGTTTCTGTATTTTACATTTTTTTTCGAAATTACAGAAGTACATACCCACTTGAGAGATTTAAATAAAAAAATTGATAACAGAATTCCTTGAATTTAGACCCCCAAAAAAGTAAATAAAATAATATAACGCTTGCTTCAAAAGTACAGTTTGTGGTTTTTAAAAAAAAAATTCGGCTAAAATCGGTAAATAGTGCAACTTTCATCAAGGCGTTGAAGTTTGAAATGGACCACTCTGTTATAACGAAGATTTTTTTCTACATTTAAGCGACAACCACTGATAATATAACACGGTTTTCAGAATTTAATTATCTTTAATTATTTTCAAGTATAACTCATAATCCCAAGATATATCGATCGCCCTGTACTTAAGGAAGAACAAGTGTCGAATATAAAACGTTAAGAAGTTGTGAGTAATTGTTTTTGAATAAATATCATATTTTAGAAAACTTGCACTTCATTGCCAGTCACGCACAGTTTCAAAATATATTTGACTTTCTTATTATTAAGTATTAGCGGAAACATCGAAACTGCTATGTTTATCGGTATTTCGTAAGCTTTGGTGCCAGAGATCCAAAAATAAAATGCCAGGAACANTGAATCACCCTGTATGTTCATATATTTTTCATAAATGTATCGTATTTACCTACATAACATTTTTTTCTCGATTCGAATTATTCGATCGATTTTTGATAAAAAAATTAGGTACTTCACTTTAATTAGCACACTTAAACTCCCATATCTCAAATTTCATCGCTTTAAAACGCAGAATAATTTTTTAATTCAGACTTTTAAAGTGTTAAAATGAAGTTCCGTTTAAATTTAACAATTTAGGAGCTTTTTGAATTGGCTGAAGATGAATTATATTAGCCAATATCTGGTCCTGCTGATTGTGACTGGTAACAAGTAGTCTGCATAAAAAATATTTTCATGATTTTAGGCAGGACGTAATATTTCCAAATATTTAGAACTCTGTTATTTGCCAGTTGTAATCAATAGTGCCAATTTTTAGGCATTTCCATTAGCTTTCTAGTTTTTAAACTGAAACAAATATTGAAAAAAATCAAATCTATATGAGAAAATGTTTCCACTCTATTTTAATTGAAATTGATTAAGGCTATATAGTCAGATTTTTAATAAACATATCACTAAACTTACTTGCCCTAAAATCGCTTCTAAAAAAATTTATAATTGTTCGGCAATTACATCTGGAATCTATATAAAAAATTTAATTCCAATCCTGCGGTCCTAAAAAATTTTAAACCGGCCACTGTATTAATATCAAGTTTTTAAATATAAAATAATAGATAGATATCTGAATGCTAGAGTTCTTTGAATTAAAAGTTTTATAACTGTTGTATTCCAATCCTAGCAACTGTTACTTTGAGATGTAATTGAACAGAAATCCTATCTATTAAATTACGTACATTTTTTAAATTAGTTATTTTTATACTTTCTACAAAGTTATTTAGTATGTAGTTTTTAAGTTACGTATAAATTATTAATTTCACCAGACGTTCCGTAAAAAGACTTGACCTGCTGATCCAAATTTAATGCTAATATATATAAAAAAATAAATTTATTCCAAAAGTAGACCTTCCGCATTTTTATCTTGCTGCGGTGGTGCATGATAGGTAGCTCTCCAAGCACTAGGGCATGCATACTGATTTAAAAAGGGCGAAAGGGAATTTATAGCGACAAGTTGGAATTTATTGATTAATTTCGAGTCACCCCAAACCGGAAATATGACTACAAAGTGACTTTAATAAATCCAAAATGCTATCTTATTTTTTACGTATAAGATTTAATAATCAATAATATCATTACCACCGTTTTTGTATGTAATATTTTTAGCCCCACAATGGGCGCCAAAAATATATCTTTTTATACCATCATAGCTATACACTTTTATTTAGCATAATAAAACTAATGAACTACATGGAAATCATATCGTTTAATTGAATTGTTATTGTGTGTGTATAACCACCGTTTTTGTATGTATTATTTTTTGCCCCACATTGGGCTCCAATTATGTCTTTTTTATCTCATCATAGTTATACTTGATTGGCGTAATAAAACTAATAAAGGTATATCAATTGAAAACCGTATTATTTAATTGAAGTGTAATTGTGTTTGTAAAAAATATTAATTACTTTATTATCTTTTTCCAGATTGAATGGAATGCATTGATGTTTTCTCATTTTGGAGCTATTAAAGGTAAGACTTTTTCCAGTAATACCAATAAAACTACATTCATTAAACGCCACAATCGGTATTGCAGAGAGTAATTTATTACTCAGGATATTGCATTTCTTCTTGTTTTGTTCTAAAAGGTTACAACGTTTGAGATAAGGCAAAACAATTCTTTGTTATTATAAATTTGCCGACACGATGTTTCGAGAGTTTATGCAATCAAGGTCGAAAACAAGTTGACTGCAAAATATTTGTCAGCGAACCGATTTGCAATCCTAATTAGTTCCATTGTTAAAAGAATAAAAAATAGTTACAAATAGACGTTTTAAAATATAATTTATAACCGTAATGCATGAACATTTTTCACAAATTTTTATATTAGGTAGGTACAAATCATACGTAAATCAAATTAAACTGACCAGCTTTCGCCGCAATTTTTTTCAGTATTTCCATTTTCACTTTAAACCTTAATTACGTTACCACGAAATTCGTTTACATTGAGTCTGAGTGTTTTAGTTCGAGAGTACTTATCTGAGATTGTCCCGCCTCATTTTTTTATAGAAATCACTTTTGTCTGGAAGCAGAGAGATTCGACAAGACTTTATCCCAATAAAATGCTTGTTTTGGTACAGATATTTTCACTAGCAACCACACAAAACTGTATGAAACGTACCGTACAGATGTCTATAAAGTAACAGTAATAATTATTAATGATGACACTAACAGTAAAGTATTTTATTATTTATGACTTATTTAAGAAAATAATTGCCTATGCTGAACGTACACCGTGAGTCATACAAATTAGCTATAAAGCATGCCGCCGAAGGAGCAATCGAGTGTCCGCGTTGTTTATATTGACGTTGTGAGTTCCTAGTGATTATAAAATTATAAATTACTTGAAAGGGGTTCGAGTTTTTCGAGTGCCGAAGGATCTCATTTTTCTTATTATAAATTTTGATTGAAAATTATCTACCATATATTTATTGTGTATAAAAAAGGATCGCATAATTAAACGCGTAATATTAAGAGGGCTCTATAGCAAATAGGCAACCAACAATACATATTTATAGATTTTATTACAGTGTTGGAAATTAGGGCTAATAAATAAAACTAGAGACGTCTGTTCAGCTCAGCGTTTATTGAAGAAGTGCTTCTTAAATGGGCTTATGATACATATACCTCTGAGAAAAGCATAGACCAAGCTCGGTCTTAATATATAAACAAAAAGATAAAGTAAACACACTTAGATCGGTCCTATAAGTTTTAATTTTTGTTACTGTATATTTCTTATAATATTCAACACACAGTTTGTCTAAATATGAGTTAATGCATAAATAATAGACTTTCCTCCATTCTAACGCAGATTTTCTATAAAATGGCGTTAGTTTAAAACTCAAATTACTTTTTGTTGTAAAGAAATTTGTAATTTGCCGCTTTTGAACAAGCGGCATCCTAAATTAAAAATTTCTTTACACCAAAAAGTCTATACGAAACTATACAAGCCGTTAGTGTTCCAGTTCAAATTTCAATTATCTGATTTGGAATTGACGAACAAATATTCATAAAAAAAATAATATAAGCTTATTAATATGATCAAAATCCTCAAAAACAAATATGACTAGTTTGGATACTTAAGAAACGAGATATTAATAAAATATTTTTTCACGATTTAGTACCGTCTTATGAGAATGCAGATTTTTTTGGTCTTTCCACTTAGAATGCGCAGCAATTGGCAAACAGTTTCCACAGCAACTTGTATAAATAGGAAACCGATATCTAAGGAACCGTATGACAACTTGTAGAAATCGATTAGGTACTTGTAAGATATATAATTTATAATAATTCTCCTTCAAACTGCTGTCGTTGACTAACTTATCCTCAATATGCGTGATGGCGGCAACGCCGCGGTCTCGACATAGCGTATTATTTGAAATTCGCAGGTGTCCAAACAAACAGAATGATCGAACGGGAGCGAGTGAACGTCGAGCCGAGCACGCCAGCCAAGTGCAACGTTGCCAAATCTAAAGGCTTACTACTTTAGTCACCAGCGAATCTACAGAAACCTTCGTTAGACTTTAGACGTACCTCCGTACCCGATAAACCTCCTTAAACAAGAGTCAGCGTTTAACTAAACCACCTCCCACAATGCGCACTGCGTATTTTGTCGATCCCAAATCTGGAAACATTTTAAGAATACCGCGATAAATTGTTTATTTCAGAAGTGGAAAAATACCGAAGTAAACACGGAAAGAAATATGCCCAAATAAACAAATTTAAACAATAATATTCGTTTAATTATTAAAAACGTTCTACTTCATCTTTTAGACAAATACCTTGCTATGAATGCAGAATCTTTTTATTCAAAATGATATGAATGCAGAAGTATTCGTTTACAGAAACGTAAATATTCAGAATTTTAAACGACTTTCGGCGAGGCGTGAAAAATGTTTCTGTTTATTCCACTCGAAAATACAATTCGAAAGACCTCTCGACACGTATAATATGATTTAAAACGAAACGGAGAAAACCTTGAAATGAAATCGCGCAGCGAACTTGACCTTTACAACTAATTAATTATTCGCCAGTATTATTGTAAACGTCATGCGGCTGTTTGCAATGCAGCTGAATACGTGTGTGTCTCTGTTTACGCTGAGCTTTTCGTTTTCCTTTGAAACGTTGCTCATTTAAATAAAAATCGCGACGTGCCGCATATTTTATAGGAATAAGCGTAGGTCAAGTTTCAACATGCAACTATTAACAATTTAGAACGATAATAATCCTTGGGATGATTTATTAACTTAATATAGTTGTTTGTGGTTCTTCTCCGATTTATCCTTTAATAATTCTGACAAACAGTAATAATTAATTCCGAGCCTTTTTATAGGAGTTGTTTGTACCAATGCTGTAGGAAAAATGATCCTCAAATGGCCGGTTTTCTCAAGTGTCGTAAAAATCTCACTTATACATAGGTTTTATGAGACAAAATAAATATAAATTTAACTGGGAGATAAACTTATCAAGAGGTGAAAAAACTCGGCCTACATAACTCGGATATATCAGACGTTCATACAAATTATTTTGCAAATTGGTAAATAACGTTTTCATGCGTTTTTACAATTATTAAGTGTCTCTTATAATTAGGCTTAGTGCGGCGTGGAGTTTAACAGGACCGTAGTCAGATTACGAAAATATTAATATGTTATAGAAAATATATCGCAACAGTACTATTACCAAAAAGCCTTAGTAGAGGATAAAATACCTATGTATATAGGTAAATTTAAATGACACCACTTACCCGATAAATCTGTGTTGAGGCAAGGCTTCCGTGGCATATTGGAAGGAGTTAAAACATATTACTACGCGCTTTTCTAAGTTTTCTGTAGTGAAACGGCGACGTTTATCAGTTAATATTAACTTGTGAAGAGAAAATGACAGTTCAACGTATACTGTTGACAACGGCATGAAGTATAATATTAATATATTTGCTGGTAACGCCTGATATGTACCAGATAAAACTTTACATATGTTTTCCAAAATTATGTATCCTGGATTTTTTTCCAACACTCTTTGCATTTTTTCTTTTGTCGTACTACTTACGGACTGGGCGTATATCATTGTATATATTTTTTTGTTCATGTGATTTCAATTTACGGAATTAGGGAACTTGGGGTTCTCTAGTTTGTTAAATAGAATACTGCTTGAAAGAAAAGCGTCTGTAAATTCATAGAAAAATATAGTCTTCAGCGCTGGACGAGGGATGACTCTTCAAATATCTTGTCACTTTAGTTTTGTAACAAGAATTTATAATGCGTTCACACACTGTACAAAATAGGTCATTACCTGTAGTATGTTCCTGTAACCTCGGGATTGCTGTCAAACCACATTTGAAATAATGCCCGTCTATTTCTTTTCTCTTTTGGCATTTTACTTCACTGTATCTAAATTTATTTTGCCAAATAAACTAGTTTTATGTGACGATTTTCAAATATTTTATAGAATACCTACTACTATACTCGACGGCCGAAATTATAGATAGTAATTCATCGCTAGCTCTTGGACTAGTAAGGAGGAGTAAGGTATACGTAAAAGGCAACAAGATGTAGAAAATATGGAAAAAATATAATAAAACTATAAATAAATAAATCTATTATTTTTAGAGGTTTTATCGGGAAAACTTCAAAAATATTTTAGTAACATTTTGTTTTTAAATTTTAAGTGTTTTCTATAAAACGATGCCCTCTTGGGCATCGATAACCCACCACCACCCGGCTTACGCCGCCGCAAAATATTGTAATGTTTACTATTAATTACTCCCTACGTCCAATGTGTCAGAGCCAACTTCGACCACGTTTTTATTTGAACGCTCGTTATATTATGTATGAATCACTATCTATATTTTCGGCCATCGAGTATAGATATGTTCATTAACAAAAAAAGATGAAAATTTAAAAAGGATGTACCTAACTGCATCCGTTTTTTGAATATCAATCAATACAGAGAATTTCAGGTAAGTGATTTTCAGGTATTAATATCTTGAAAGCAGTTGAAAATCTATACATAGGTAAAAAATGCTAAAAAAAAGTCTTAGAACCTAAATTTTTTCATTTGATACGTCCAGCGGCATCAAAACAGGAGTATGTTTCTGTATTTTACATTTTTTTTCGAAATTACAGAAGTACATACCCACTTGAGAGATTTAAATAAAAAAATTGATAACAGAATTCCTTGAATTTAGACCCCCAAAAAAGTAAATAAAATAATATAGCGCTTGCTTCAAAAGTACAGTTTTGGTTTTAAAAAAAAATTCGGCTAAAATCGGTAAATAGTGCAACTTTCATCAAGGCGTTGAAGTTTGAAATGGACCACTCTGTTATAACGAAGATTTTTTTCTACATTTAAGCGACAACCACTGATAATATAACACGGTTTTCAGAATTTAATTATCTTTAATTATTTTCAAGTATAACTCATAATCCCAAGATGTATTCGATCGCCCTGTACTTAAGGAAGAACAAGTGTCGAAT